TCTTTACTATTATTGTTATTATTGTCATTACTATTATTGCTATTATTATTATTATCATCATTACTATTATTGTTATTATCATTATCATAATTATTACTATTATTGTTATTATTATTATTAAAGTTATTATTCTTAATTTATTATTATAATTACTATTATTATCATTATCAATATTATCATCATTTTATTATTACTATTATTATTAGTATCATCATTATTATCATTATCATTATTGTTATCATCATCATTATTGTTATTATTATCATTATTACTATCATCCTTAATGTTGTTGTATTTTTTCTGTTCTTCTTATCATTATTATTATTATTATTGCTATCATTATCATTATCTTCATCGTCATTATAATTATTACCATTACTGCTACTACTATTATTAGCATTAGTATAATTATTGTCCTGATCATCCTCCTCCTCATTATTATTGCCATTACCATAATTATTATGAAAATTATTTTGATACTAATAGTGATGATGGTTATTCTGATATTGATATTGATAATGATGTTGATAATTATTGTTATTACAATTAAGGCGAGAAGAATTAAAATAAAAAGTAACACAAAGAAAAAAAAGACAAGGAAAGGAGAAAGAACAGAGACAAGGAAAATGTCAGATGCCATGAACATTTGAATAATAAAAATAAGAAGATTAAGCACTAAAAAAATAAGTCGAAATCGAACATAAAAGAAATAAAGAGAGAGAGAGAGAGAGAGAGAGAGAGAGAGAGAGAGAGAGAGAGAGAGAGAGAGAGAAAGAGAGAGAGAGAGAGGCAAAAAAACAATCAAACAAACGTTTCCCTCCATAGGTTCTCACACAAACACTCAGTGACGTCACAGGCCAACCGCAAATAAACAACTGGGACGTAGGACTTCCTTAAACATTTACAGTTCACGGCGACGAAAATGGAATAAAGGCGAATAATATAACAGTATTAGTGCTATTACAAATGACGGCTTCAAATAATTACGCGTGAAGTATTTTTTTTCAATCGCATTTTTGCCGCATTTAGTGTAAACGGAAGCGAAGTCGAGAGTTCAAAATTCGGACGACTGTGATGTTCTTCCTGGCACGTTTATGACTGACTGACTGACACCTGTTTGACTGACTCACACGTATGACTAACTGACATATGATCGTAAGGTTTATAACAATGCTATTAGTATTACGATAATAATTACTGTTACCTCGCTGTTTGAAGATTCATTTACGTGCTCCTGTTATTGTTTTCCTGTTGATCGTTCGTTGTTGATACCGATGCTATTCCCATAATCATTATTACTATCGTTATCATCATTAGTATCATTACTTTTGTTATTATTGTTGTTGTTGTTCTTCTTATTTTTTTTTCACCATCACATCATTAACATTATCATTACGTTTATCATTATCATTACTGTTATCATCACCATTATCATTAGGTAGTAGTATCATTATCATCATGTTTAGTATTATGTTACCGTCATCATTATTGTTATCATTGTCATTGTTATTATTATTATTATAATTATTATCATTATTATTGTTATTATTATTATTATTGTTATTATTATTATTATTATTATTATTATTATTATCATTATTGTTATCATAATAATTATTGTTATTATTATCATTAACATTTGAATAATAAAAATAAGAAGATTAAGCACTAAAAAAATAAGTCGAAATCGAACATAAAAGAAATAAAGAGAGAGAGAGAGAGAAGAGAGAGAGAGAGAGAGAGAGAGAGAGAGAGAGAGAGAGAGAGAGATAGAGAGAGAGAGAGAGAGAGAGAAGAGAGAGAGAGAGAAGCAGGAAAATGTACAAAGACTCAAAAATAGTACGCAGAAGATCAAAATACAGTAAGAGGAAGCAGTAAGAGGAGGGAAAGAGGGCAGGAATAAAGAGAGAGAGAGAGATAGAGAGAGAGAGAGATGAGAGAGAGAGAGAGACGAGAGAGAGAGAGAGAAGAGAGAGAGAGAGAGATGAGAGAGAGAGAGAGAAGCAGGAAAATGTACAAAGACTCAAAAATAGTACGCAGAAGATCAAAATACAGTAAGAGGAAGCAGTAAGAGGAGGGAAAGAGGGCAGGAATAAAGAGAGAAAATAAATCACCCATATCCACGAATCCCTCCCCCCCCAAAAAAAAAAATAATAAAATAAAATAAAATAAAATAAAATAAAATAAAATAAAATAAAATAAAATAAAATAAAATAAAATAAAATAAAATAAAATAAAATAAAATAAAATAAAATAAAATAAAATAAAATAAAATAAAATAAAATAAATAAAATAAAATAAGATAAAATAAAATAAAATAAAGCATACCTTTCAATCAACAAATAAATAGATGAATATATTTGAGGAACAGAATGTAAACAAAAATCTTACCTGAATTCGTCCATCCTCCTGAGCACGCGGCTGGACAATGGCACTGCCTTGGCTTCTTCCACGTCATCCCGTGGCACTTCCAGCGTCTCCACCTGCTCCGTCGGGGACG